TTCATTGAAGTGCTAAGGATGGTTCCACCCTGTATTTGAACAAAAGGGGAATGTTGATCGATCAAATATGTAAATTACCCTATTTATATTAATAACTATAATTGAAACCATAGATGAAGTTTATTTCACCTTTTTATTAGGTAGTACAGCTTTTTATTTAGGACGTATACATTTCTAACTCTTGTTTAATTGTGTGTTTTTATAATGTTCTTCTTAATAAACCCTTTTAATGAAAACGCACAAAAATTATATTGAACATACAATGATACGAACTTACTTGACAAACCTCCGTCGTTTCTCACAATGTTTACAAGAATTGAATTTTTGTGTTATTTTGCTTGAATAATACTTTAAAAAACTTATTGTGCTAACAAACTGACGCTCAATTTAATTCCATAATAAAATATAAAGTCTAAGTAAAAATTTCATTTTCATCGTAAATATATGTCATTATTTAACACTCATTTTTCATCCAATTAAAACGGTTGTCAATAGCGAACCTGTTCAGGTTATATTTATAGAACAATGTACATAAGACACGGCTACCATTCCACGTATATCGATAGTGTGACTTCTGACCTTAAATAATTGCCAGATAAACATGTCTCCATGCCAACTTATTTTTGGTAGTTATCCTCGAATACGTGACTATAATTAACACTCATCAGTAAATACGACGAATGGCAATACCGGAAAATACGCTTCAGGACACATCCGAAAATGTCACTGCTAATTAATTATTATATTGATTTTAATCATTGACAAAGGAATTGGTTGGAATAAATAGCTGACATTTTCATTCTTCGGAAAAAAGCTCCGAAGTATTGTGTTGTGACTACATAAAAAAAACGAATTTGTTTATTAATTATATATATTCATAAATGAAGTCATAAAAATTAACAAGCCGTAGTTTCAATAGAGAACAATTACGAGAGCAATGAACGCTTTAAAGACGCAATGCCAACTGATGCAATACGAAGCGTGATGGGATGAGCCGAAATAAAACTTGTAATTATTTGTGGTCATAAGATTTATCTTAAGATTTAGGGCCACAATTTTAGCTAACAACGCTAGTGTGATTAATAAGCACTACATATGATGCGACCTTTCATATAATCATCCCATGTGATCTTCAACTAGTATGTTACAATTGTGCTGTCGAATTTCAAACAATAAAGCAAAGAATATTTATGTAAATTATTTCAATACACTTAAAAAATCTCTAAAAGTCAACAAGTAACATTTTTTGTTGTTAAAATGAACTCATATTCTTTATTGATAAATGAAAAAGAATCTAATTAATACTCGCAGTGAATTTTATTTATTACTTTTTAAATTGTTTAAAAGAAAAATCTTGAGTAGTAATTGAATAACATCCATTATTCAGAGTCACGTCCATCTTTTGTTTTTCGGAGTATAAATCCATAACTTCTGTAGAATAAATGATATAAGTAAATTGATATTAAGAAGGTATATTCCTTTGATTTTTTTAACGTTGGCATGCAGGATCGTTGTGATTTGTTTTTACAAAAAAAAAAACTCAAATACACAAGAAGAGGTAGTTAAGGAACAGCAGAATGGAATGTGTTACTTTTATCACGACAAACATTATCATTCACAAATTCAACTATTGCTCGTATGAATTAATATAATAATTATTTTGTCAACGAACGAAAGCTAAATAATTTAATTCTCGTGTATGTAAGATATTTATTAGAAATACTTCCCAATTTTGCACTTTACAACCTGCTATAATATCCAGAAAAAGTTTCTTTAATTTCACTTACTGTTCAGAAGTTAAATTTCTTAAGGCCTATAAGACCCATGGTTACGTTGTCGATTTGTTGGGCCTAGTCCTAATAAATTACCCGCAATCATGTCAAGTTCATCGCTGAACTCGCATAGAATACTGTTCCGCTAAAGACATTTGGTTCTGTCACAATAATGGGACAAATAAGGTACTGCTTTGAATATTTATCATTGTTTACGATAGGTCAACCTTCAGGTTTTCCGAAGAAAGTGTACTAATTTAGCAGTACTAAGGTCTTACATTGTGTTAAGGAGCTCGATGGTGAAGTGTTTAGCGCGTTCGGTCTACGATGTAGAGGTTAAGCGACTTTAACAAAGGCCGGTCATAGGATGGGTGACCACAAATTTATTATCTCAAGCTCCGTGCTTCGGAAGGCACGTTGAGTTACAGCTCAGCTGCATTTGCAGTCGTTAACACCCACCAATCTACACTGGACTAGGGTGGTGGGTTCTGGCCCTTTTCCATTCTCTGTATTAAAACGTAGGTAAAATGTGTCCCAGCAACGAGGATGTTAATAGGCTGTTTCACAGTTAGAATCGTCTTGGCAAGCATACGTTTTCATGCGTTGATATAAAACAGAAATCCTGTTCTGTTCTTATTATTACATTGAATTTTAAAAACTAATCTTTATCTATTTATAAAAATTATATATTTGTATTTATTTGCAAAACTTTACGATGATGAGTGTAGTAAATTTTTGAGTTTATTCTAACGTAAATTCAAAACTACTATCCACTCAGAAACCCATTCAATCAAAAATGTTGGTAATCGCATTCAACTTTAAGTGACCTAACCATAAGGTTTACATTTTTATGCTTAATAGTCGGTGTAATTCGCAGATTCCATAAACATTTCCATGGCCATTATCGCTATCAAAATGAATGCGATGAACTAAAACAAGACCTTGGCGTTTAAATAAAATCTGTAATACGATACTCAAATAAATTATTATCACACATTGAAATCCGAGCTTACTCAATAAAAAGAAATCGTCAATATTGTGGTTTTGATTATCGTCACTGTTCTCTTAAATATTTTATATTATACAGGGAAAAATGTCATCCGTATCTACACATTTTTTTCCGTGGTATAGAAGATATAATTATTAAATAATAAATAATAGACAGTTGTATTATAGAAATCTGAATAAGGAAGGTGACACAATACCTAGACCCCCAGAAAAGTTAATTTTCAACATATATATGATCCAACTGGGAATCGAAAATAGAATCTTAGAGATGGGATATCTTAAAATCGGCATGCGAACTACTCCACCGTGGAGGTTGTACCCCGTGTTACATTAAACATTAGTTTGTTCAGTAAGTAGTTTACTGAAAACAAATCTTTTAAAATCGATAATATTTTATGAATAGCATGTACCTTATGCTTTGCAATTAAGTGATATGGATTAATATTTAGAGAACAACAAACGTTTTCTATGTAAATTATATTATTCAGAGAGTGAGTTAATTTGTAAGTAAAAATAAAGTAATGTAATACACATGGCGTTATATTAAGTACCTGTTGTAACCGCAAATCCATGAGCGATAACAACTGTTACTTTTCATGCTAGAGTTAAAATGGAAAAAAACTATATACATATAAAGTTAGACTTTAAATGATGATACATTTAAAGTCTAACTTACGAAATGATCACTCACAAATGATAATTCCTATGTTGTTTATGTTTTTATTTGTGGTTAGACTTTTTAAGAATACATCATAATCAAAATAAAGTGCTTTTTTAAATCGGAGACTTTTATAGTCCTTATATTTCATTTTTTATAGAAATAACCTTAATTTATTTAATAATTAATCATATTTAAAAATATGTAAGATGTGACGTTCAACTTAAAGATGATATTCCAATACTTTAACCTTAAAGCGAGTAACCTTATGTACAGCAATTTTACTGAAAAAATAATAATTAGCTATAAGTAATACAAAGAGGCCAATAACATTCGAAGTTTCAGTTAATTATTTTTAACGATATTATCGATTCGATAAATTTTAATTTTAAACGAACTCGAGGCCTACGGGTGTGTAACTTTTTATAGAGTTTACTGGCTACAATAAAACGTGAAGTTAATTGTTCTCTGTGATATATTTTGACAATATATGTCTAACTTGTTTGCTTTAAAAGGGAAGTTTTAATGGAAGTTCAACGATTCGCTAGATTCAGTTGATTCTGAATCACTGAATGAATAATAATTTCCATGACACAAGAAATACAAATACATTTGTTAAAACATACATATATAAGTATAAAAACATGCCATGATCCCTTTCGAGTAAAGTTCTCCTACAGATGCCTCCATCTGTATCTGATCTTAAATGAATGAATAAAGTATCTTATTCATTTGCTAATTACTTGTAAATGTGACACTTTTTTATGACAATCCGTGAATACTCTGACATATATTCATCACACAGTAATTTGCTACTTGATGTGTCCCTTGTATCATTTTGTCCTAGTGTTCTTTTTTATTATAACAGTAAATTCGCAGTATTCATTTATTATATTTCATTAGTATAGTAACAGTAAGTAAATATAAAGTTATCTTTACTAAAATTATAATCAGAAAAGTTCTTAATAATCAGTTGACCAACGGTAAATGACACCATACAATACAATATTTAGGAAACAGGTTTATGAAACATTGGTTTGCGATTCTATTTTCTTGCTTTATATCATTTAGGTTGGAATTTTGTTGTACCAAAGCATTACTATAATCGACATTTTCTTACAAACCATATAATAGCGCTAATATAAAATTAGTCAGACTGATGAATTTATGTACAACTTAAAATTTCTTATTTATCTAGTTTTTGTTCTATAATTTTCCTTAGGACCATCCAAAGACTTTATTTGTAACATTACACATTAGAAATAATTTTGTGATTAAGAAGTTGTTTCATGGCTTGATTAATAAAACCAATACCATTACCTACATTTATAAGTACATAATGTTCATTAGTTTAAAAAACCAAGTTTTTCAAATGAAACTTTTAGAATAAACACTTTAACAGAATGAATTTAATCGGTGCCTAATTTATCGTGGGGTCGTGGATATCATTAAGTGGTATCATAGCACGACGTGTGACGTCACACGTACCATGACGTTGCGATCCTTAGCAGGAACCGAGAGAGGGGCTCGTTGATAAAAGACTGCAACGCCGAAGCCTCAGCAGTCGCGGCAGCGAGCACCTCCAAACCAAAATGAGGACGCTGACCTTTACGGTGGGTGATACGTGGTTGTGTTGTGATTTTATTGTCATTTGAAAAAAGTGCGGAACTGATAGTGCTAGAAAGTGTTGCTGTCTAAAAAAAAGTGATATCAAGATATTGAAAAAAAACCGATTTAATCTAAACGACACTTTTAAAGCATTTTAATGATTTGAAGTATTTTGGTATTAACCAAATAATTGTTGAAAACACAGAAAATTATAAAAGGATTATTTTTATAGCAACATGGCAGAACGCAAAGAAATCCTTTTATTTCCGTTGGACTGTGAATTTGAACGCGTATTTAAAGTGAAATAATTATACCACCATCTTTGCATAAAATAGCACATCAATTTCTTTGACGACACTTTTCATTGAAATTTCGTTGCAATTAATTTCTTTCAAGTTTCAAATTTTAATATAGGCTCACGAAACGTGAAAAAAATTATAAAGCTTTGACAGATTCTAATATATTTCCTGTGAAAAAAAAATACGGTTGTAATTATTAAGTATATTACAATAGATAAATTCAACGTGTTTAATATTTATAAAACAAGAACAATGTCAATTATAGACATACAAACAAAAGACACGCTCTCATTAATGTGTATACTGTGTAAAGCAAAAGAAAGTATTGTTAAATTTTACGTTAGAAAATTAATTATTTCGAGTTAATGAGTAAAAGTGAAATGAAAGCATAAACTTTTTGTATAAATACAAAACATTTTAATGAATTATTAATCATACACTATTTGGATAAACGAAATAAATTTTTATTGCTTTTAATTTTATTTAAGATTTTTTTTTTATTTCAGTTATGGGTGGTGCTGGCGGTATCGGTATCACTAGCAGTACCCATTAAGGATGTGGAGAAGGACACTGAATTGACCAGGGAGAAGCGCTCACCTGGGGGTTGGCACTCACCACAGCCTGAAGGAGTTTGGAAAAAGAAACTCGTTTGGAAAGAAGAATGGAAACAGATCTGGAAAACTGATAAGAAACTTATATGGAAGACCGAGTGGAAGAAGGAGAAAGTACCAGCATGGAAAACAGAGAAAGTTCAGCAGTGGAAAGAGGAGCAAGTCCCTGCATGGAAAGTAGTGCAGAAACCTATCTGGAAGGAAGTTCAGGTCCCTATTTGGAAAGAAGTTCAAGTACCAGACTGGAAGAAAGTATGGAAACCAGTATGGAAAGAAATTCAAGTACCAGTTACTAAGACAATCCAGGTGCCTGAATGGAAGCAATCGTATGTGCCAGCTTGGGTAAAAGAGGGTGTCCCTGGAGAAAAATTCTTGGGCAAGGACGACCATGGATGGGAATACACTAGTCACGACTTGTGGAGAAAGAAAATGATCTGGAAACCAGTGTGGAAGAAAGTGTGGAAAACAGAACACAAGCAAGAATGGGTGACTGAAAAGAAATTGGAATGGAAAGAAGAGTGGAAACAGGTCTGGAAAACTGTTAAGAAACAGGCTTGGGTAACCGAAAAAAAGCAAGAATGGGTCGAAGAGAAAGTACAAATTTGGAAGACAGTAAAGAAAGAAGTTTGGGTACCTGTCCAAAAGAAAATCTGGGTCGAAAAATGGAAACAAATTCAAGTCCCCGTCTGGAAGACCATTGAAGTTCCTGCATGGAAGAAAGTATGGAAACCGGTATGGGAAAAGGTTTGGGTGCCCATACACCATGAACACCACGGCTGGGATTAAATAGGTATCAACCATGACGTTTTTGTATATATAGAAATAATAGTTTTGGTCATAGTCATTGTTAAATTTTTGTTACCGTTCTACCAAGGATTGTAAATATAAATAAATCAAATACTTTAATACTCAAGTGAAGCGTTAGAAGTCTTGGACGGGTAAGTATTAAAATGGTAATCATTGTGGCGTACGCGAAGGCGAATGCTTTAAGCTTTTAGCGAGTGTAAAATTAAAACTTTTGAAGATTGCAAATGCGAAATGTATTTGACTTTGCGTGCGCCTAAAGAAGTGAAACTACATTGTTTTTATTTTATTACAACTATTGATCTGTGCACAACACAGTATTTTCACTTCTTACTGGTTTGGTTTTCATGTTGATTGTTCTATATTTTATAGTATTCTATAAAATCGTCAACACTGTAATGTTACGTTGATTATATAATAATGAGAATCTAACTTAATTCTAAAGATCATTGGAATAACATAAATTCGGAAGGCAATCATCGTCATTGTTATATATATCAACGCTTGAGAGGCTAAAATGTTTTTGGCTGCTAAATACTTACTTCTGTTGTAAGCGACAGATATGTAAGAATTTAATAGTACATTTAGTTTAGTTATGTCATACTCTTCTAATAATTAAAAAAATGATAAGAAGAGAAGCTGTAGTAAAACTATTGAGATCAGATTTGTTATTTTTATATTTGTAGTATTTAGAATTTGTTTCTATTTAAAATTTTAAAAGAATGAGTTTTTTGACTCATTATTATTGACCCAAAAATGTTAGAGGCTCAAAAGTTGATGTGAACCAGTAGAGGTGCGGGTTCATATCAGATTTAAAGTACAATTATTTTGTTTTTATGTTTTATAATTTGTTTTATAAGGAAATATAAATATTAAGATATCATATGACTTTTATTTACCCACAAAACTTTAAAAGATTTAAAACATAATTAAAGGGGATGTTAGATGCTTTTCAAAGATTTAATCAATAAGCACTTAAGCATTCTTCTCCAAATGAAACTTTTCAAATTATCTTTAGTTTTCATATTTTTGCTGTACAAAAATATATGGGGTTGAATATATTTATGATTATTATCAGTAAACCCGAGATTACGAGTACAGTTCCTCAAACAAGTACCAAAACAATTTTGGAAACAAAAAGGTTTTTAAATTTTTAATCACGTTAACGTCGAGGTTAACTGACAAGTAAATAACATGGCATTTGAGCTACGGCAAGCAAAAGGTGTATAATTTAAAATTATCTCATTCATTTCTTTTCCACTCGGTACACTTTCACCGAATTTTTTTAATGACGACGTACCTTCCATCATTAAGATGTCTAAGTAATGTCAATGGCGTGTGAAATGAATGCTTTCTTAATTGCTACGCGTTAACAATGGTGCAGAAAATGTTTACTTGATTGCACAGGTACACACATTATATAATTACTAGATCTCCGATAACATGATAGCAACTGTATTCCTAGGGAGCCAATTAGCGGGTTAAAAATAACACAAATGGAAATCCAGGCTCTCAATTATCTGTATACCAAAAACTGTTTTTACGTAAAGAAGTAACAAACACCTAAATGACCAAACTTTCACCTTTACAATTTTAAAAACGTTATTCACATTTAGCGTAATATTACATCTAATTCGTTTAACAATTTATTACAGTAAATTGCCTTAAAATATTAATGACAGTCATTGCGTACTATTTTCAATTACTCTTATTACGAAGAATAGATGTGCCTTTATCCAAAGTGTAATGTGAGATATTACTATTTATGAGGAGCGTAGTGTTATTTTGTTATAAAAAGTTGTTTAGTTAGAGACAATGGGATCAAGCCTGAATAGCCAAGTCTAAAATAGTCTTCAGTTTGAATTAAAATGATGGCGTTCGGTTTTTTAATGCTTTTTGTAATTGATCGAATGTTGCAAGAGCATAGAGAAGTTCTCAGGAAAGATTTTGACCTCTTCACGTTCCCACGCTAAAATTACACACTTTCCCTGTTACCGGCGCCGTATATCTATTATACATAGTAGTATATCTATTCTTTTTAGATCTTTTTATTCCATTAAATTATTTATCGTCCATTTGCATGATATTAACAATAAACATTATATGAAAAAGTTGCGCCAAAAGAGTATACAAACATTAAAATATCGGATAATATAAGAAAGATATTCAAACTTTTTATTATAAACTCCAACAGAAACTTCTTGGTTCAGACTCAACTATTAGAAACTGTAACAATCTCCTTTGTAAGCTTGTGTAACAAAAGTGCAGTCCTACTTCATAGAGGTGTCAAACTATGTTTGGATCCTCAGCCGTACATGGTACAAATATTGCATAAGTCGGCCAAACATCTCCGGAAAATCTCAAGAACAATGATGATGATCTATTACGTAAAAAACAAACATTTGGTGCCTGGGCGCCGTCGATGAGTCTGGTGAATGTTACGTCAGCGTGAATCGTTGTGGATATCGTTAAGCTATCGGAATTAGTGTTGCCATCTTAAACAAAAAAGCCTAACTACGCTTTACTTCGGACATTTTGTCTCAAATCAAAATCAAATATCATTTTTGTCTCTTCAATCGTATGTGTTTACTCGACTACGGCGAAGCGAAATAGAGGGTTATGATATTGGCAGGTACGTATGTATATAAGAATGTTTCAATTCTTCCCTTATAACTTCGGAACTACTCATCGTAACTGATTAAATGAGGTGTATTAAAAGCGTCTTAGTTATCCACATGCTGTAAGCTATATGCGTTACACAAAATTGTCAACAGCGCCCTCTATAAAGCATAAAGTGAGAGCATAAAGTCTATAGAGCTCTATAGAGCATAAAGTAAGAAACTAAAAAATATATATTATCATTCCATGTAGGGTAATATATTGGATTTTGCTTAAATCGCTCCGAAAATTATATAAATTATAAAAAAAATAAAACCCGACTACAGCTAAATCACGCTCTAAAAAGATTGAAACAAGAAATTTATTTTATATATTACAATAGTGATGAGAAAAGGACAGCCACTGATTATAACAAAACAAAATGTTGTTACATACGACTACGCTGTCCTTTGGTCATCGCTATTATGATATAGCTGTCTCTCTAAAATAAAATAAAATTTTCTGGTTCAAACGCCTAAGAGCGTGAGTCGGCCTTAGGTTTCGAAATATTTTAATAATAAAAAAATCTGTTACAAGTTCAAGTTGTTTATTAATTACACATAACCAGTTAAATAACAAATAAAAAATAAATATTGAGATAATTTGGATTATAAGCGAAATATGAGCGAAAATTGTACAGACCGGACATTTAAATACTCGTATTTAGAGGGACGCAGCCTAAAAAAGCCAAAAATTTCAGCTAAAGCCAAACAGATGGCATCTCTTATCCGGTACATGAAGAAACGCTTCATTGTCATTATAGTGTCATTTGTTTGTCCGATTCAGTTTGCAACTTGGAACGAATATGAAAAGAAAAGCATTTTTATGTCGGCAGAGGCTTAGTTACTAGATTACTCATAGATTTTCAATTACAGCTCAGTTTGGAAGATGTATATTTATTGACATATAAATCTATATAATATAAGGTTGGGAAAAAAGTTTCTGCGCTTTCAAATCAAAATTCAAAACATTTTTTTTTTATTTAGTTATTTACATTTAACTAAAGTATGTAGGTACAAATTTGTTCGATAACTTTTTGCCGTCTTATAGCTAGGGACATGATCCTAATGCTATAGAAATTTTGGGGACTTTGATCAAAATAACCGCGACAAGTGGTTTTGGCGGTCTTCGCGATATTAACCTGACACTGCCTAAAGAATTCTGCAGAAATCGAAACAGGTAGAAATTTGAAGGTACAAGGTCAAAACTATATGGTGGATGCATTGACACCTCCCAGCCAATGTCTGCTGAGTGGGAAAGAATGTGTGAGGTTTAACGTTATGATGATGATAAACCATACACCTTCTATTGATTAATTCTGACAGCTTTCTCTCAACTTCTTGCTTTTATTAAGTTGTTCGCATTAGAGTTCAGAATCAATGATTCTGCCTGGTGGTAACAGCTCCACCTTGATACGAGTTAATCTGGGTTTCTCCACAGACTGTGAAGCCTCACTGAACTTTTACCACAATCCTATTAGCAAGTATTTGTCGTACGTGATCCACTTTTCGTCACTAAATATCAGCTTCTTCGGTATTATTACGCCATAATAAAAAAATACAAATGATATCCAACTTTTTGGTATAGCCAGCTTTCTTCAAATGGGCCATAAAATGTTTTTGTAGTCAATCCTCAGTTTTTAAGCTACGTCCTAACTACTGATATGCCAATCTTGCTCAACTTTTTCAAAAATAGCATCCATTTTATCCATAACAGTGCGACCGATGCGACGTGCATCTTTAACATCAAAACTTCCGGACTGAAAACGCTTAAACCTTATTTGTGCTAATCTCATAAATGTCGCATTTTTTTTGTGACTTGCATTTTTACCTTGTTTTGTAATAAAATTTTAAAATGTATCGAAATCCATCATTAGATTCACTCATTTTGTCAGTAAGAAAAACAAATGAACATCACACATTTTCCTAATTCGAATTCTAAGTTATTATCTTTAAAATTTAAAGTTTTTGATATTACCTAGACTAGTCAAATATAAATGGTATAGCCAGAAAGATTTTATTACAAGTTTATGCATACTACACTTATTATATACGAAAAGACTTTTTCCCATCATAATATAGAATGATTTGTGCTTTAATATTTTCAAAGATTTATATTTAAAACATAATTTTTATTTTAAATTATGCTAATGCTAATGTAAAATATACTCAAACACCAATTTTCATTACTATGCAAAGGAAATATTTGAAAATAATATTCGACATTTATTACAATGACAAATGAAATACTAAATAATGGTTGTTATGGTAACATTTTGATTTCCCATAAAACTTACACTCTGGTGAGTTTTATGGGAAAAATAAAATGGTAAAAATATAACCTTTTACCTTTCTGGGGTCTTAAATTACTCAAATATCAATTTTCATCTATATAGTTTCGACCCTTTTCGACCCCTTTAAATCCGTTCTTAGTACATTTCTACGAAACAAGACAAATATACCCTCCAAATTTCATATCTCTACGGCCAGCGTTTCAGGCTGTGCGTAATAAATTTAATAGCTCCTTTTTTGTAATTAAGTGCTGTTAATTTAATTGTAAAAAAAATCCCGACAATAGCTGCTAAACATCTGTTGATTAACAGTTTCCATACTTTCTATTGCTTCATCATCCGACGAGATATCTAATTACTCACACTTGTAATAAACGTTCATTAATGGGCCTTTTTGTTATAGTGAAAGTTCAAAACTTAATGCGTTATCTAGGTTTTACTTTGACTTCATTTAAGAGGGGTCATAAAACCAAAAGTCTGTGATAGACAGGACATGGGGGAATTGGGCATAAAAAATTTATTCGCAAGCTATTGTAAATTCTCTGTATATCTTTCGGCTATAGAATGTCACACATATTTATATTTGAAAGGGCGCAATTACATCAATGGTATAAAATAGTGAATTTTAGGAGTGAACTTTGTTATTTAAAAAAAAAAAATGTAAGTCACATTTTAGCTGTGACGAACCCATTACAAATAAATTGTAGATTTCTCATTTATAATTGCAGCTCATTTGGATGCTATTTATTCTTACTTATTATACAGAACAAAATATAATATGAGTGTCCTCTTAACAAACATGATGTAATGTTACATATGATAAATCAAATGGATAAACGTTCGAAATCCATTGTCATATGTTTCAAAGTTCATGTAATGAAGAGTCGATATATTTTTAATGATGCATAAGTTTCAGTAACAATGGGGATCTT